GGGTGAGGAGAGGGGGGGTGAGGAGAGCTGGGTGAGGAGAGGGGGGGAGGGGGGGAGGACGAGGAAAAAAGAGGAGAAAATACTGAAGAGTCAGAGAAGGAACTGTGGAGAACCGATGCTGCAGTCATTACGTAGTACATTTATTTAATTAGGGGGAGGGAGGGGGTAAGAGCCCCCCCCCCCCCCCCCAAGTCAGGGCAGAAACAAAGAACGAGTTTGATTGGTCGCTTCATTAACAGACTATTTATAACAAACTACGGGGGGGGGGGGTAAACCACATGTTGCCTCACGATCACTAGTATTTCCTCACCCTCGGTGCACGTGTGCTGGGTTCAAATCCCGGGCCAGAACACCGTTTCACTTGAAGTACAAAAACGGTACTGTGTTCCGTTGGTTCTCTTCACCGAATAAAGCGAGTCACTGCAGGAACGTCCCTCAGAGCCGGAACTGTTCTCAGGTCGGACAACGACGCACAAGTATTAACCTGCAGGAAGACGAGTCAAGTATGTGGAAAAAACTGTTCCACACACACACACACACACACACACACACTGACAGAAGGTTCTGGATCAAATGAAGGCTTCTGTTCTGTTGATGACATCATCAGCTGGTGGGTTGACTGAAGCACAGAGCTGCCTTCAACCGTGGAGCTGTTCACCTCCATCAACCCCAGGAATACTGGACTGTGAACATCAGTAACTGAGGACATTGATCCAGTATTGATCCAGTATTGATCCAGTATTGATCCAGTATTGATCCAGTATTGATCCAGGATCAGTGGATTGATACTTTCTTACAGCTTCACCATTAACTGTAAACATCACATTTAAAGAACATTAAAGTCACCTCCAACCCTAACCCTACTGCCCCCTACTGCCCCCTACTGGGCCTGTCCTTCACCCAAGAACACTGAGGCTTCTGCTCTGGTTCAGTTATTTGTTCTCATGTAAACGTTCAGGAAGTTAAAAAACAAACTGTTCTGGAAAAATGCACTGATGTTACTGTTACTGCTGTTACTGCTGCTGTTACTGTTGTTACTGTTACTGCTTCTGTTACTGCTGCTGTTACTGTTACTACTGTTACTGTTACTGCTGCTGTTACTGTTGTTACTGTTACTGCTTCTGTTACTGCTGCTGTTACTGTTACTACTGTTACTGTTACTGCTGCTGTTACTGTTGTTACTGTTACTGCTTCTGTTACTGCTGCTGTTACTGTTACTACTGTTACTGTTACTGCTGCTGTTACTGCTGCTGTTACTGTTGTTACTGTTACTGCTGCTGTTACTGTTGTTACTGTTACTGCTGCTGTTACTGTTACTACTGTTACTGTTACTGCTGCTGTTACTGTTGTTACTGTTACTGCTGCTGTTACTGTTACTGCCGTTGTTACTGTTACTGCTGTTACTGTTGTTACTGGTTTTCAAAGAACCACAGCTGGAGTAAATGTGTCGACCAATGGTGACAGTTTCCTCCTGACGCTGATGGGAAGAGAAACATAAACAATGGGAGAAGGAAACAGTTTCACATGGTCCAACCAGCGACACCTTAAATCTGCTAAGAATAACTCCAAAAGAACAAACAGGAAGAACGCAGGACAACCTGGGACTTCAGAGGTTGGCAGTGCCATCTGGATACTCTCTACACACAGTACACAGTACACAGTACACAGTACACAGTATGTGTACTATATAGATGTATGTATATTGTATATATAAATATATATAAAGATATATCTATTTAAAAACTCACGGAAGACCGACGTCGGACATCGTCTCTCGGCACACACTGTGCCATCAACCACTGCTCCACAGTGCGGCCTCTCTGTGTGTACTGGGAGCAGTATCTTCTGAATATGTGTATCGGTGTGTACTTCGTGGTAACGACGTGAAAAGTCAGTGTGTGAATCATTCACGCTCACATTCACACCTGTGGTTCAGTAACAATCGGTTCTGCCTCACAGGGAACCTGTCCTGCGTCACCGATGATTCAGGGTGTGTTGGCGTGAACGACGTCGGCCAAGATCACCGTCAGCACCGTCTTGGGGCAAACACGTAATTCAACCGACGACAAACAGATCCGCGTGATTCTTAGTCACAGGTTAGCAAAAAAAATCCAAAGGTAAACAATAAAAGTTCTGACTGAGAACAGAGTGGAACTGTTTCTCTAGGATCATGTGTCGACTGTCGGGTAGACGGGACTGGAACCCATTGGTTCTCCATGAACAGTTCTCCACGAACAATTCCCCGTGATCAGTTCCCCGTGATCAGTTCCACGTGATCAGTTGAAGGAACACAACATTCTATCAAATATCTCATGAATATATTCATATATTTGTATGTATTTATTGATTCCAGGCCTTTTTCTGAGAACTTTCATTCTTTTCGTTCTCATCAAACAGTTCCAGGGGAGTTCAGAGCAGAGTCAGCTGAGGTCTGATCGGTTACAGCAACAGTACTAGAACATTTTTCCGCCCTCTTCTTGATTCATGGTCTTTTCTAATTACTGTCACTGAGTCTCCAGAGGGAGTCAGGCAGGGGGCGCCATGTTCCCCCTCTCTTCACAATGCTGTGTGACAACTATGTACGGACTGTCAGGTGGCGCCGAGTCGCTCCGCGGGCCAAGAGCCAGTGCATCACAAGGTCAAGACGTTCTCACATGGTGGTACTGGTCCAGCCGCGGTACCATGTGACCAACTCCACACACGGTTTCATCTCAGATTACACCACCTGCTGTTACTGGGATGGAATTACAGTGCACCGTCTGTGAACATGTCCCTCTCCCAGACACACACACACACACACACACACGCACACAGCTGCCTGTTATCAGTGTTAGCATTAGCGTTAGCAAACACGCCACTGTTTCAAGTCAACCCAGAAAAGTGGCTTCGTTTCTGGCTGTTTCTGTGTTGGTGGA